GAGGGAGGGAGAATGAGAATGTGTGTGTATGTGAGCGAGAGAGTGTATGTGATAGAGAGTGTGTGTGTATGTGTGTGTGAGAGAGAAAGAGACACAGAGAGACTTTGAGAGAGGGAGTGTGTGTGTGTATGTGAGAGAGAAAGAGAGAGAATGTGAAAGAGAGAAAGAGAAAGAGTATGTGTGTGTGAGAGAGAGAGAGAGAGAGAGAGAGAGAGAGAGAGAGAGAGAGAGAGAGAAACAGAAGTGAAGTCTCTGAAGTCCAGACCATTCTGTCTTTCTTTTTCTTTTTCCCTTCCAACAAGAGGACTCGATGCTTACCCAACAGAGGACATGAAAGCTGGCAAGACTATCACTTTCTTCTTCCTTTGAGCATAAGAGGAGGCCTATGGAGGGCAGGCAGGTCGCACAAATAGGAAAACCTGGTGATAAGGGCTTGGGTGCTAGATAATGCAGGCGTGAGGAGGAGGAGGAGGAGAAGAAGAAGAAGAAGAAGAAGAAGAAGAAGAAGAAGAAGAAGAAGAAGAAGTGGTCGTAAGCCAATGTTCGAACAATCTAGTCAGAGAAATCCAATATCTTATGTACTTGATGTAAACAAATTAAGTCCTGAGCGGGAGCCTTTCCAAAGCTAGAATGTCACCAATGGAGATGGATTGTATCATTGCTGTATGTGCTCCACCTGCCCTTTGTTGGACACATTCTCTTCTCCGAGGAGTAGTGTCAATGTCTACACCTTTGACACCAGCAGTGGCTATGTGAGAGGTTATTGGGATGTGAACGGACGTAGCACATGCCAATTGTCAGTGGATACTTGGAGGGCCATCATGGAGCCTGGTTATTGCTCTGTGCCATCTCCACAGAGTGGCACATGTCAGGGCCTGGCGGGAGGTGAGCCATGTTGATGCAGTCTTTGAGCAAAACAGGCCTCTGTGACGAGAGCCTCTGAGATTTAGGAGTCAGTCATCTCGAGCTAGCAAATGCACAACACTCCAGCTTTGCATTATGTGTGGCCTGTGAGGAGGTGACAGGAGCCATTTGCTGGAGGTCTGAAGGAGACCAGCAGCAGGAGGTGCTCTTGACCTCACCTCACCTGCATGGCCTTTAGGGAGAGATCGGAGGCCTCAGGCTGGACTGTCAGCTAAACTAAGCTGCTGGCCAAGTGTCCTGGACCACATTTTCCTTCTTCTCAAAGGACGATGATAGTCAACTCTTAGGAACCCAAGAGAAGGCTATCCATGGCCTTATTCACTTAAAAAGCAGAAATAAGTAGGGATGGTTGACAAAAAAGGAAGTTTGAGGGCAGGGGGATTCTGTGAACAGGGTCGAGCAAACTCCACTGATTCAGAGTGAGTGACCAAGAGTGAACAGCTTTCATCTGAAGTGGGGGGAAGTGGTGTAAAGTCGGGGTTCAGAGAGCAAACTCCTGCTGCTGCTGCTGCTGCTGCTGCTGCCTCAGGTAGACACAAGCTGAAAGAGAGGCTGGAAATGCCTCTGGTCTCAGGGAAATCAACTTGTCTTTTGTTGTTATCAGTGGCGGGGGGACGACCCAGGCAATGGGTGAGTCTTCCTAGAGACTCGAACTCCACCTACTGAAAAGCTCAATAAATTTGTTTCCAGTTGAGGATATCTCCCGGGGCCAATTCATGAAGAAGGCTCTACAACAGCCTCTCAGGAACTCATTTCAGAGCCAATGTGGAAATGGCTGTTTCCAGGAATGGGCATGGTAGGAGCTGAATTGGGTGGGAGGTAGGCTAGTGAACCTCTCAGACTCTTCCAACAAAAATCAATTGGTATTCATTATTTAGTGTTAGGGCTCATGATATTGAAATGTCAAAACTGACTTAATTAAGGCCAATACGTAGACTTAGGACTGAAATGCAAGGAAAAATGAAACAAGTAAAATTAAGCCCCAAACACAAATGTCCCAGTTTTGCCTGTAAGCCACATCATATTATCACAGAAATGAAGCAGGGTATAAATAAGTGAGTGAGTAGCCGGGCGGTGGTGTCATGTGTCTTTAATCCCAGTACTCGGGAGGCAGAGGCAGGCAGATCTCTGCAAGTCCAAGGCCAGCCTGGGCTACAGAGTGAGTTTCAGGGCAACCAGGGCTACACAGAGAAACCCTGTCTCGGAAAAAAAAAAAGTGAGTGAGTGAGATGTCATGCTTCAGCCTAAAGCCACACTTGACCAATATGGGTGATCAACAGCCAGCTTTGTGAGATGCAAGACCACAGAAGTGAGACTTCAATCATGAGGAAAGCCTACAACAGATGAGGGGGACAATAGATGGCTCTGAGAAGGTCCACAAGCTCCAACATTTCTTCTCGACGCTAGAGACGATCTGAGGTACAGAGGTTAAGTCTGTGGCTCCCAGCCGGCTGTAGCATATTCCAAGGAGAGTATGCCAATGTGACAGCTTTTTCTTAATTTCCTTTCATCCCAAATGTTCATTTTTTTTTCATCTCCTGTGAGGATTCTTTCCCCCAGTGTGACAAATTTTCCAATTTCGTAATGGAAGCCAAGAGAAAATGGAATTCTCTTTTATAGAAATCCATTTTTGAAGCCAACTTTCTTGAGATGCATCTACCCCTGAAAGCAATTTCCTTCCTCAGGGTGGATGCGGCTGAGGTGTTTAGAGCCTGCTAAGTGGATCGCTGACAATTTGCTCTTTTTGCTTGTGGAGATTAACAGCAAGGCCTTGGGGGGAAAATGGGGTGAGGGTTCCTCTTCAGGGCCTTCTCATGCTGTGCTGAGCTAAGTCCTTAGAGCAGTGGTTTTGCTGGAATAGGCATGGTGTAGGGGTTGGGAGAGGTCTGGACACCTCAGGGCATCAATGTCAATTATCTCTCACATATCCCTCCCAACACGCTTGGGAATCTGGCTCACCAGACAATTAGATAGAAGACAAGCCGTCAGACAACAGTGGTGTCACAGCATGGCCCTGTCCCAGTTCTGAAAGGCCACCGAGGATTTGTAGGAACATGGCAGGTCCTGTTCCATAATGGGACTAGAACTCACGTCTGGCTGGCTGCTTGCCCTGGCTGGCATTCTAATGGTTCCTCTTTGGGGCACATTTATGATGATGTAATGGCAAAACAAAGGCGCTTGTTAGTAAATGAAATCAGTTTTATACTATGTGGGTGACTTGCAGGCAGCGTGTACCGCCAGGCATTGACACATTCCAACGTGGGAAATGTACTTGAAGCGCAACAACTGGCTTTTCTCCATCTGTTCATGTTCCCCATTTGACTCATCTCTGCTCTGTAAATATTCTCTGACTTGTTAGCAAGCTGAACAAATTTCAAAGCTCTATGAATAAAGTGCATGTAGGTCAGAAGGAACCTGGAGGGAGAACCCCAAGGACACATAAACTCGCCTTACCAGGAGAAACCTTTCGTCCATTTGACACTCATCACCTCAAACTACGTTTCCCATGCAGGCAAAAGGGATGTGAGCACAGATGAAATGAGGGCTGGTGGGGAAGGCAACAGCATGAGGAAGAAGAGTGGATGCCCCAAAAATATAGACCGGAAATCAACCATGGGAGCATGGTAAGGAAAAGCAAATGTTCACAAGATAGCAAGCCAGAAGAAATTACTGGCAAAGACACCACACACACGCACGCACGCACGCACGCACGCACGCACGCACGCACGCACAAAAGAAAAAAGAAAAGAGCAGTCTGATTCTTCATGGGAGCTTCATGATCAGTGTCCTCGGTTTCATCTTGAGGGCCTCCATTACATATGCATCTCAGGATGCTGTCTGTGACTTGCCATGGTGGCCATACAAAATGGTCATCTTCCATGAGCATGTCACTTACTGCCCAACTCCATGGGACAGTGATTCAGTGTGTAGAAACAGTACCTGAATTTCTCAGGCCAAAGAATAAAGAAAAAATATGAAGTGTATCTTGTGTGGTAGAGAATTGCTGATTGATTCTACGTCTACTCTCACAGCTGAAAGTGTACTGAAGGCGGGATGTCATTCATAACGACACCAGCTTACATCAATTGAGAATTTGCTACAATCCAGGCACTGTTCCAATACTCTACTAGAGCAAGTCTATTTCATTTTCACAATAATGATGTTGGGGTTTTAATTTTGCCCTCTCCTTTATAGATAAGAAGAGTCAAGTGCATAGAGCTATTGCTTAGTCTAAAGTCATGCAGTTTGCCAGTATTAAAACCCAAGCCGTTGGGCATAGACAAGGAGCTTATAGCCATGCACTCCAGTATATACATAACCCAATCCAGTCAACAAAAAATCCATGAGTTAACACACACACACACACACACACACACACACACACACACACACACAC